CGATATCTGCTGCCAAGAAGTTACTTATATAATTTTTATGCACTGTTTTCCAACAGACCATACTGTTGGAGCAGTGTAGATTCAGAAGAATCCAGAAAGGGAGCTTCTAAACCAAGAAAGAATTTGGGCAAGTCCCCTGAAAATAAATAAGTAAATAAAATAAATCTCCTTGAAAGGTTAATAGTAAAGGAACAAGTAGTGCATACAGTTAGAGGGGAATAGAAACAGCAGGAAAAAAGAAGATTGTCCTCAAAAAGAGTAAGGAGGAAATCAAACTTGAGAATTGTCTGTGCTTTAGTCATCATGTAATCATCATCAATCTCACATAATATGAACTCTAATCTTTTTTTCCATTGAAGCCAACAGAGAAAATTGCTCAATAAAACAGGCTTGGAGGCCGTATCATGGTCTGTAATAGGGCGATCGCTTTTCTAAGATCCCTTTTGTGTCTGACGCACTCCTTTGATTTGTCAAGCTCCTGATGAATGTTCCCTTAATCTGTAGCATTCAGCATCGTAATTATAATTTAAATGTGGCCGGTTGGCTGCCCTAGCAGCAAGTGTAGCCTCATAAGACATTTTCATCCAAAGTTCTTTCATATAATCTGAAGAATTAGAGGGCATCAACACAAATTTGAATCCCCTGTTTGTCGTTAAGCTCAAGTCTGAAAAAGTCCAATTAAAGTTTGGTGGTCTTCAAATTTTTTTTACTGTGTAATTTGTTTTGGCTGAGTTTTTTAGTGAATCTATTGAATTGCTGATAAACAGCATGACTCAGAAGATTAGTAAGTTATATTCTTATGTATATATAAGTTATATATTCTTATTGCACGAGAACTGGTCAATTATTAAAAAGCATAATTAAAAGGTATTTAAAGGAATATTCAAGAATCTTAAAATAAATATAATTTCTGAATTTCTAGTAGTTTTACTAGACTAGACGTGGACTTGACTTCTGAAATGTTATCAGAAATGTAACTGGCACAAGTTCATTGCTGAGAAATAAATACTGAATATTAAAAGTAGTTAAGATTAGCAAAGACTTGGATTTCTAGCGAGCCTGAAAGGCACTGGGAGGTGATGCTAGTAGAGCCCTCCTTTAGCTTCTGGGTGACAGAGTCATTTCAAGCCTGTGTCCGTCAGGACAACTGTCGGTTGTGGACAGATTCACAGCGTGTGTGCAGCCCCATCAAGGAGGATTTGCTGTAATCGCCAAGAAACCTTCCCTCTGGGAATAGGTTGACTTGGCCCTGCCTTCGCTGCAGCCACTTGCTGTCATTAGGGCAGGCTGGTCTTCCTGGAAAGTTGGGACCCGTTGGATTTAACAATCATAGAAAAGTGGAGCTATTTTCTCGCATGCAGTTGCTGCCATCACCGCAAGATTTTGCGTTAATCAGAACAATTTTGCTAGCTGCCTTGTGAGCATCCTGGGCTGTCACTTCCTTTAAACAACCAGGTTTTTTGGTATAATCTGGGGGACAGATACTCTAGCAGCCACGGTCCCAGAAGGACTTTATAAATAACTACTACTTTACTGGACGCTGATATCTGTGTCTGGCATTAGTGGTGTAATTCAAAGTTACACATTAGTGTGCAGAGAAATAAATGTTCCTGAAAGGTCAAGCTGAATCTATGCAGGCAGGTCTGGCCCAGTTCCAAGCTTTTATGAATGAAAACATGATCTGAGGCTTGTAAAATCGTATCCTCTCGCTTTTAGTGCGCAGCAGCCCTTTTAGCGTCCTTCCTTTAGAATTCGTAGCTACTTGTATAATCTGGTGTGAAAGCGGAGAGAGTTGCTGTTTTGTATTCCTGGGTGCAAAGTTGTCGTCTGTGTGGTCCTCATTTCAGACGACTGCTCCTTTTGTGTAGCCCAGGGACTGCCATTCCGGCGTTCGGGCATGACTAAGCACGTGGGTATCTGTGACGGCTGCTGAAATGCTTTTCACATCAAACTTTGCTTGGCAAGCTGCCCCGTACCTAAGGCTTAGGTTTCCACAGTTAGAAAAGCAGAGAGGTAGACTCCAACAACGCAGATGATGCTGAGAAAAAACTATGCAAGAACAACTGAGTAGTTTCTGTAAGAATTAAACATCTCAAGGCACAGCTCAAGTGCTTTAAAACACTAGAAGCCTGAGAGGTGAAAAACACAAATATAGCCATATATTATGCATATTGTGTATACGTGCATTTATTTTGTCATTTTTATTTATTATTTTATGAAGTTTTCTTTTTTAAGACCTTTCAAAAATCTAAAAAAAAACCCATAACTTGGCTGAGTGGGCATACCTTTTCATTTAGCTTTTCCGGGGCTAGTGGCATAACTTAGCTGCGTTTCCCATTGTACATTCTAGAGCAAATAGCCATTAGAGAATCTGACTCTATTTTACTCTAATGTATTTTGGAGCTTTTGATTGTTGCCTCAGTGCCTGCGTGTTCAAGGGAAAATAGGTACCTACAGAAACACGAGGCGACAGCAGCAGCAGGGAGACGCGTGTGTTTTCCTTGTCTCGTGGATTGATTGCACTATGTCTTGTGGGGTCGCTGATGTAGAGAGGTCCCTTATTTTCCCAGCAAAGATTGAAACCATTAAGGTAATGTGTCTGCTTGAAATGTGGCGCTTTCAAATGCTCCTCTGAGGTTCTGTTTTCTACCTGCTCTTGCATGTTGCTTATGTTGAATGATATCATTAAAGCCAGAAAACACCGTTCAAGATGAGGTTTTAAGAGTAAGATGTGATCTATTGTAATCAATATCAGGTAGCACTGCTCGTCTTCCAGGTGGGGAGGGATGATAAACTTCTTGTTTGAAAATGGGGTGAGCTGTTCTTAACTTGGGAGGGGCTGTTGAATCTTGTCTGGATGCTCCAGCTTGCTCGGGATCAGGAGGTTTGACTTCCTACTGAGTAGGAACGGTATGAAATCTGGAATGACACTTCTTGCACTCTTCAATAGAAATATTGCTAAATCATAACAATAACTAAGGTAAAAGTAAAACAAGTTTTGTAATTTTACAGCAGAATAATGAAGGCCTTGGCAGTGTGAGGGGCTAAAAATCAGGAAACTAGTATTCAAAGGACTAACCTATTCCACCAAGACATGTGTATTAGTGTCTGGGGGAGGATATGCAGTCTCAAAGGCATCAGAACATAAACAGATGACTTAATACTGATAATAATAGTAATAATAATATGGGATCCCCAAAACAGCATCATCCTCTTGGAAGTGAAATGACTGTAAAATATTGTTGACCATCAGTCGAACGGACTTTCTGGTTTTGAATGCATAACTATGGAATCGTGCGTTGAAGAATTTATATGAAATAGTAGCTATAAATACCTCCTCGAGGAGCAGGAGTGGTAAACAAGGCTGTGATTCATCTTATTAAAGAATTAGAAGGTACAAAAATGTTGAATTTCTAGTGCTTCTGTTAAGAGGTTTTTATAATCCATTTTTGTAATCTATTTTTATATATTTATGTTAATTAAGTTTGTTTTATATTCATGGAACTGGAAGAGGCTGAGTCCTTAAGGGGGGTGACTTATCTGGTCAGGATAAATGAATTTTCCTTTCTCTGTTACTTTCTGGTAAAATGAAACAGATTATCTTAAGGAATCCTAAGAGGATGGAGTTATGGATAGATATTTTAGTCTGAAAATAAGACAGACATATTAGTGATGATTAGAATATCGATTATCCCAAACCATATAAGAAATGGCACTTTTCCCCCTTAGGCACTTGTTCTGCTGATGAAAGGATCAAAATTAATTCCACAAAATAATCTCTTTGATTTCTTACTTTTTTTCTCAGACATTAACACTGTGTTTCTAAAAGAAAGATGTAACATCAAAAATATTAATGAAAAGAGATAAATTAGTGATCCCCAATCTGAAAGAAGGGTGTAGACCTTTCAGGTCGTTACGTTCTCAGAGGGAGTTCCCCGTGTGTCCTGAGAGGAGCCCAGAGGCCAGGCTGTAAATTCTGCCAGGCTCCCCAAGGAGCAGCTCACAGGAGAGCTCGGGATTTACCCTAGCGACATTGCTTGGCCTCCTGCAACTGGGCCTCTAAAAGGGATTTTCCAGTGGCCCTACAAATAAATTGTTAAACTTTTCTCTTGGTAATAATTATTTTACTCTCATTTTGGCAGGAAAAAAAGAGGAGTAAGTTGAAATCCTGCCTAACTGATTTTAAAATAGTGCATGCATCTCTCTTCCTGTGATAATCCTGGCAAAAGCCTTTGGCACATGAACCTTGGTTCTAGTATTCAAACTACTCTGTGCAAATTTAGTTTTCAAACCTGAATTTCTCTCTCTCTCTCTTTTTTTTTTTTTTTTTTTAAGATGCACATATTCATTAAAAAAAAAAGAAGGTGCATAGATGTCGACTAGTTCATGGTAGATTTCTGCGATTAGCAATATTTTAAGATTTGGTAATATCCTGTTTGGTAGTGTACTGTATAACTTCATGACTTGAATTTTTGCATATGTTTATTTGTAGGTTTGATTTATTAATAGACTTGGTTAAATGTGCTCTTTGTTGTGTTGTTCTATTTTGATGCAAGGCTTCCGTAACAAAGGTTTTGGCTTTAGTTTGCATTTTAACTTACTTTGCTTACTTATTTGCAACACACTAGTAAAAATATGTAGAACTCATTTTTTCATCAAAATTTTCATCAAAATTGTCGAAACTATTGGCAGTGGTTGCCAATCATTGTGCCGGAGTTTACTTATGTGGTGATAAATGCATGACTATGTCCCAAAATTCATATCTAGCCCTTACAGAATAAGGAAATTCAGAATTATGGAAGAATTATTCACAATATATTCAAACCTATATCAGTCTAAAGATCCAAAGGGGTTATTGCTCTTGTCAGCCTTTAATGTCACAGAAAGTGACACGAGTGATAATTTAAGGTAAAAAAAAAAAAAAAGGAAATGGATGGGAGATTTAGTGGTTGACAGAGTCTACACTGCAGTTTGGGGCTATCTGGAGTTGTGCTGTAGGAAAAAACGTTACGTAACTGCTTCTGAAAAGCATTTATTAGGAAGAATGAAAGTAAGAGTAGAAACCAGAGGTTTGGATTTGGTAATCTGGAGAGAAGAGACTTCTTTTACACTAGTTATACTGGTCATCAAGAAACAAAGAAATACAGTATTTATTTTTAGGGATTCTCTTTTAATTTCTCAGCTGATAGCGTTTCAAAATATTCTACTGAATATTTGCCACACAAATATAAAATTGTTTCAAAAGGAAAATGTTTTCTTAGTAATACCTGCTATTATGATATTAAAGATCTTTGTTAAAGAATGTTTAGTTTCATTTCTATGACCTAAATAGACAAATTTAATATTGTCAGGTTAAATCATGTTTTCTCAAATTCCTTTTCCTTTGATTTTTCTTTTTTGCTACTGTCTAAACAACGGTGCAAGATCATCACAGATTAAAAGTAGTATTGAGGATTAAAACTTGCATTTACCTCATTTTAGACAGTTTAGTGACCTTCAAAAGCTGGAACTACAGAAGAGAAGAGCAGCAACGTGTGAATCCTGGCTTGAATTTGACCCACTTCCAGGGCTTTTGGCACCGGGATAGCACAGAGTGTCATATGAGCCTGCTCGGTGCCTCTGGGGCTGTGAGGGCTTCTGGAAGTGGCGTCAGGGTGTCCCTTGGCTCTACGCAGTGAGCGCAGAGCTGCTGGCACCAGTTTGGCTGTTCTCTGCGGCCACCGTTGGTGGTACCGATCCCTCCCCAGCAGGACAGGGTAGGTGCATACAGCTCAGCAACACCAGCTCAGATGAGTTCCTAGCAGCGGTGCGACCCTCTCTGCCTCCTTTACTAAATGAAGCTCTTCATGTTCGGGAGACAAATTGAAGTTGTCATCTCCACCCTTGTTATCGACTGGGTGTCTGGGTTCCTCATCTGCCTGTCAGGGCCAGGCCGTTCCTGCTGCCCGTGCATAGCTCGGCCCTTGTTTTGTCACGCATTGAAGGGACATGGATGAGATTTATCTCACTCCAAAAACTTGGCCCGATCTTTGCCATCCGTCGAGGTTTCCTTATCTCCTTGAATCTTGTCTCTGAGCGATTTGTCCGTCTCTTTGTACCAGGAGAGGCAGTAGGCCACGGTTCAAGAGCTTTGGGCTCTGTTTAATGCAAAGACGACGTGGCTGATGCCTCGGACGGAGGTGCAGAGCCAGCTCGCAGCGCTGCTTCCCGCGTTGCCTTCCCGGCCTCCAGCAGCTCAGGGCTTCGGGGCAAAGGAGCTTTCCCCCACTCTTTACTAATGTATCCGCTCCATTTTTGAACTTGTAGCATCTGCAATATCACATGAGAAGGAGTTCCAAAAACTTTGCTCATAACTTAACATGCAGTTATTTATTTGATATTTTTTCCGTTAAAAAAAAAAATTGAAAAAGGCAAGAAACAATAGATAGTTTCATCTTCTCCGTGATACTTATGGTTTTGTTGGCCTGCATTGCATTCCTCCTCTGTCTCCTCTCTGTTCTCAGGCTGAATATTCTTGGTTTATTGAGTTGTCCCCTGAAGTTGCTGCTGGTTGTTGTTGCCCTTTTCTGTAGCTTTCTCAGTTCTGTGATATTCTTTATAGAAATGTGGTAGACAAATAGTGTTTATGAAGTGGGCTTATCAGTAAAATGGTCATTGGAGTGTTAACGAGGTCACACAGAGCTTTTAGAAATGAAGAGTAAGCAAAATGATTTGGTAATAGGATTCTTTTTCTCTCTGTGATGCATTTAGGTTAAAATAGCAAGTTTTTCCGGGTGCAGTATAGAAATAATTTTAGATTTTAGTTAAACCACATACGCCATCTACAAAACTTCTAAGTAACATGTTTTCATGCCTTCCCTGGGTGGAATGCTAGAAGGGAGAGATGTCATTGGTGTAACCACCTGCATAACACACTTCGTATCTTGAAATGAAACACACCTCATATCCTTAAATGAATTAAGTTCTGTTTGAAGTAGCTTCTACCTTTGAGGAGAAGGAGGAAAGTTATGTATTTAAAATAAGTAACGATGGAAAATCCATCTCAGTTCTTTATAATTTATTCCTTGTAAATATTTTCAGTAGCTAAGAATATTTAAAAGTTTTTATGTGAATTCAGATCATGTTTTTGTTTTCTAATATCTAAACTTCTCGCAATTAAAAATCTCTAAGCCTGTAATTACTGAGGCTATTTCTCTAACCCTTCAGTAATTCTTTATTAACAGATTCAATTATCTACTTTTTCCATGTATTTTATGTCGGAATGATGTTGGATTGACAGCCTTACTGAGGACATTCTAGATTTCAGTGCTCCAGGTTTTAGTGAAAATGAGAATTAATCATCTGAGAAAGTTTTAGTCCAACTGTGTCATGGATGAAAGAGATTAAATACCAGTGCTAGGAAGTATCGTGTCTGTCGTTCAAAATATTTTTTCCAAAGTTGGGTTTAGCTTTTTGGGGAAACTACTACACTTTTTTTAGCATGACATTTGCACTGTTGTGTCTTTGGATGTCACCTTTTAAATTGGGAGTTGTTTGTGTATTTTATGATTGTCTACATTACTCATTTACTTCTGAGTAGGGTTTATATTTCCTTTGAATTGAATGCTCCAAATAAGGAACATAGACCTTTATTATCCTTTAATTAGATGAATTCCTTTGAGGATATAGTAGTTCTGTGATCCTTACATTATGCTTCAGTATTTCAGGACTAACTAATGAAATTGTAGCAAATCATGCAGGTGCACAGCTAGGGAAGACAGAAGTTGATGGAAATCATCATGATTGGCTATACGTGTGCTGTGATTTATTTAAAACACCCTAAGTAGAATAACACCGGCAAGGAAAGTTTTATTCAAAAGAAGTCCCAACAACCCGCATTTCTCTAAGGTTTTAGAAATTTGTCACAAAGGCAGGTGGAATTACACGACTTGGACTTAATAAAAAACAAGGTTAAACAACCCGCATTTCTTTAAGGTTTTAGAAATTTGTCACAAAGGCAATTGATGAGCAAAGTGACAAATGCAGATGCCGCCACCGAGGCAACATGTGCACCTTTAAAGTTGGTGGGAACGTTCAGAAAGGTTATCATTAATGGCAATAAATTCTTGCAGATGGAAATGTCAACTATGTTCCCACAGGGCTTTGTTTGAAAACAATCCTATTTTATATATTAATTATAGAACTGGAAAATGGAACAGCTGCTTCTTCCTGGTATTGAAACTTGAAGATTTTACAAGAGCAGAGGGAGGCCGTTTTCGTCTGCTGAGCCATGGTGAAATTGTGGATACTTTGGGCTGTGTAAAGAGTCAGATAAATAAAGGACTCTTTTCAGAACAAGAAAAAAGTGTTGCATATGTAAGAGCAACAGCAAGACCTTCTTAGTTAACATAATTAATAAACACACTATTTTGAACATAATGAAACAGAAGGGCATGCAGAGATGATACTACTGTATTGCTACTGTGGTCACTTTGGAAGGGAAATAGTCTCCTTTGAAAAATGCCCCTCAAAACTACAAAGTACTGGGTCTTTCAAAGGAATAAATATAAACTGCTTAATACATAAAAAGGTTGATGTTGTAGAACAAGGAGCTTGCTTTTGAAGAAATGGAAAGTCTGGAGAAAAGGAGAGGTAATGTTGATGATAGTTTTCAAATATGAGGAGTGATAAACAGGGTATGTTCAGTGAGAGGATAGCATCTATATTCAGAAGCAGAAGCTTGCAAAATCGTGGAGGAGAAGGCCAGGTTTTAGAAATTTACTTTCCAAAGAAGAGCTGCTTGAATTTGAGTTGCAATTTCTGTGTTGTAAGGTGAGTGAACATGGCTTAGTTTAAACCAAAGAAACTTCATACTTTTATGTTCCAAAGATAAGTGAATTATGTATGCCGTTTCATGCACTGAATGGAAATCATGAGATGGTGTAGGTAGATTTAGTGACTAAAAGGTGTTTTTTTTTTTTTTTTCAACATGCAAGAATGAATTAATGTTTATCTTAAAAGAAACAGAACTTGGAAAGCTTTTTCTAAGAAGCCACATTAGTGACAAGGAGGGCTGTTTATGTACACAAGTGCTCTAGGTGACCCTGTGTGTGCAGGGGGGTTGGACTAGATGATCTCTAGAGGTCCCTTCCAAACTTAAGGATTCTGTGATTCTATGATTGGTCCTATTTACATTCTGTGGGGGCTCTAGCCCCTTCTCCTTGGGATAGTGAAATCCACTTGCAGGTTGAAGTCCCTCTCCCACAGCCACCACAGGTTCCTCCTTCTCATAATTTGGGCTAAACCTCTTTCTGAAATGGCCTTTATAGGACTGGATAGAGCGTGCAAGTTTTTTGGACCGAATGGGGTAAACGTTGTATGACCATTGCCTTGGTGGTAGTGACGTGTGAGCCCACAGCCCTCCGTGGCTGCGGGCACGCGAGTTGCTGATCTAGACTTACGTCTCTGAGCAATATCATAGATGAAAACTGGACATTTGCCTACACCTTGGGTTTGCAGTGAACTTTTGGACATATAATTACTGTTTTCCATGAAGCAGAGGAGATAGCTCATGGAGGAGGGTGAGGGGGAAGCTTGCTATCACCCTGACCCTTCCACTGCTATTTACACTTTCCCTGTGAGTTTTGTGTGATCTCCTTGCTTTCTAAAGGCAGTTTGTTCTCCTGACTCAGTAAGGCTGGTGTAGGCAGTTGCCTCCATAGCTGGTGGATTCAACTGCACGGTGCGAGTGACTCAGCCACCGACTTTTTATAGCTTTGCTGTTTCTGTGTCAGACAGCTCTGGTCCCCTTCACATGGGCTTTGTCACCAAGCTAATCTTGCCCTTCTCAGGGCCATTTTCTCCATCACCAAATGACTCATTGGCTCAAAGTGTCTGTGTTTGCATAATGGACTTTTCCCTTTGAGTGCTAGAATATCAAGGCAACATGGAGACAGAGTAAGAGGCAAGAGGGCTCCCAAAAGGATGCTGCAAACTTAGAAAAACTCAAATGAAAAAATAATTCTGTGTAGTTGGGCTCTGCCATGGGGCCTAGAGGTTTGTTTTGGCTTGTTTTTCCTGCTGAAGTTTTAGGACAAGAGATGCTTTTATGAAACAAAATAAATACATCAAAACAAGTCAAAAACTTGTTCTTCAAACATGTAGAGACAGATATTCCTCTAAACCATCCTGTGTACATGGGATTTGGTTTGTTGTTTTTGTTTGTTTTTTGGCAAGGTGACTGCAAGCTGCCCGTGTCCACTCTGATTATTTCAGCTGGAGCTGCTGGAGGCTGTACTGCTCCTCTTTGCCTAATTATAGGCACTTCAACTTAAGAAAGGGAGATTCTCCACTTTTCTTTTGTTGTTGTTGTTGCTCTTTATTACCTATGGAAAACATTCTTTGGCTTCAAGTGGTGGTTTTTGTTGCCCTTTCTCACCTATGAAAACTTCAGATGCGAGCTGGACTGGTAACCAGAGGCTTTTTCCAGACTGGCAATATTTATATTTTTAGAAAATGGACATCTTCCTTCAGCAAGCTTTGCTCTTGCTTTTTTAGAGTTAAAATATTTTTACTCTTACTTTTAAGTGGCAGCCTATAAATGAGATGCCACTGCCACTTGTAAGCAGGTTTTCGAAGATTGGAATGGACATTTTTGTAAATCACAAGGAAAGTAGGTCCTCTCCATAGGAAAAACAATTACAGTGTGATAGAGAAAGGTAATTTTGCGTGCAGAATATGTTGAGTCTGTAGAAGGCTGTAAACATTGAAATGCTGCTTTACATAAAAGGTTAGCAAGAAGCATGGTTGTATGATTAGGTATTTGGGCCTGCTGTGTTAATGCCGAATTCTACTGAAGGAATCACGTTTTGCCTCTAAAACATGAGTACTATCTATCTAATGAATTGATTAAAGTATGCAGTTAATTTCCTTATGGATCATCCGTTGAGGGCAGGCTGCCTAAAGAAACATCCCCATGGAACAAGTTGCTGGACTGGATAGGCAAGAGACATCTCTCTATTGTTGCATTTTTTAAAAAGACACATTTTGGCAGACTTTCTGGGAAAATACAGTTAGATAATATATTGTCCATATAATATATATATATATATAATGTACACATTGTCTATATAATCAAACATATTATTGAAAAAAAATTAATTTTCAGGATTAGGGCTGCAATCATTGGTGCAAAACCTTTCTTCAGAAGCAGGCTCTCTGAAATGCAGGGTTATAACATACTGTCCTTATTTGACAGCATCAAATTTCAAGCTCAGGCTTAAAAAGAATCCCTTCTGCCAGGAGATAACATAAGTGAATAACAGGAAATAAATTTCAGTGAGACTTTTCACAATGCTGAAAAAGACCTTCTCCAGGAACCGTTCAGACAAATCATGGGCACTCTTTAATTCAGTGAGGTTTATCCCAGAGAATGATCTGTACATACTTCTAAGTTGCAAAGGCCGGAACTCAAACAAGGAACCAAACGTAATATTTTGAGGGTTGGATTGTTCTTGCTGAGTGTTTTTAAAAAATGACAAGCAGCCTTTGACCTCCAGAGACAAATAAAAACTTAAACTACCCAGGAAAACAACAGATATTTTTCTAACCTAGGATGTAATGGGAAAGGAGGTCCTGCTCCCTTAGGGCTCTTTTCGTTTCCTTCTCTCTATTGTAGCGCAGTTTTATGTGAGACGTGTGGTGCTGCCGCTCTCCTCGGCCGGCGGCTCCCATCGCTCTCGTCCTTACGGGCATCGCACACCCTGAGCCCGCTAGAAGCCATGGGGCTGCCTGTCTTCAGAGAGGAACTCGGCGGGGATGCTGTGGGAGATGTTTTGGTCAAAGCATTAATAAGATGTGGTAAATCTTTTCTTTCCCGCATTCATTTGTTTGCCTAGGTAACTCCTTTTCAGTCTTTCGTCATTTAAAAATATTATTGTGACAGCAGCTAGAGAAATGCTGAGGAAAGTCTGCCAGATTAGACTTGGTTTTTTTTTGCTTATTTGCATTTGTGGGCTAGATCTTGCAACAAACAAAAAGACTTTTTATAGGCTGCTAATGAGGCTTTTTCTTGTATAAATTTTTTAATAGTGGAAAGCATTTTTGCCCTTTTATGATGAATTTTTAAGGATTTCTTTCTATTTCCTAGGCTGAAACTGAAGTATTCTGATCATAGCATGGCTCATCAATTGTTTCCTCTTTTGTGTCATCAATATGATTGCCAGGCCACTGAAATTTGTTTTCTTTTGTAGGCTTTGGACTATGCTTAGTATCTTTTCCTTAAGGAAATATACTTACGAGTACCCATGTTGATAATCGGTGAGGAAAAAGACACTTATTTAAAGATTCAGCAACTGTGTTTTACACATTTGAAAGATATTGTAACTTATGAAATATTAACTAGCATCATTGTCTACTAAAACTTCCTTTTTGAGTATGAAGGTCAACTGCTTTAGCAACCATTTTTCTGTCAAAAGAATCTTGTAGGTGCTGAAGGATGATTAAATGTTGCCTTTAGGAAATTTCCATGCATTTACCATGTTTACAGCAACTAGAAGTTGCATTACACTTTTTTCTCTCTTTTTTCTCTTCTGCATTGCTTTTAACATTGTAGAGTTAAGTTCTAGTAATCTTTTGCATAAAAGTAGAAGACAAATAATGATGATTTTAGAATATGCTGGATATTACCAGATACTTCTGCTATTAAATGTTTGCAAAGAAGAAGAGACAGAGGGCTATTTTTTTGTATTCTATAGGTACTTCAATTACAGAGTTTGGATATACATTTCTCTTTTAGCAAATATTTTACGTTGCCGGCTAGTAATACAGTGAAAATCTTTTATATGGGCCTAACAACCCAAAAAGTATAAATGACAGTAATTAGTCAAAGACATTTTGTGGTACATATTAAATAATATTCCTAAATACTGAATCTGTACCTTTGAATTCAGTTTTACAAAGCAAATTGCTATTCGAGGAGTAATGACTGAACATGCTTTGATTTGTGTTCACTTAATTATTTTTTTCCACATCACTGAAATCAGTTCATCAGTTAGACATAGATGCTAAGTTATCTGAAGAAAACAATTTTAAATATTTGGGATATTATGTATAGAGGACCTGATTTTGATCTCTCTCATTCATTATTATGTATTCCAGGTATATGATACTTGTTTTTAGTTTATAACTAAAATACAGGATTATAGAAGATAATTATTTTAAATGAACACTTTTCAGGTATTTTCTTTTTAACTTATAGCATTGCCATCAAGCCCCCATATCAACGCGAATTCAACATTCAGAACTGCAGAGTAGCTGAGGTTGTAGGTGGTCTCTGCTGGGCTCTCGTCCTGCCTCCCTGCCCAGGCATCGGCAGGTGGAGCTGCTTCCCCAGCATCTCTTGGGTTCTGGAGACCTGCCAGGATGGAGACCCCTCAGCCTCCCTGGGCAACCTCCTGCAATATTGGACACCTTCACATTAAAATCAAAAAGGTCTTTTTTAAAGTTCAGATGGAATTTATTGTGTCTCAGTTTTTGCCTGTTGCCTCTGTTTGGCTCTGTCTTCTCTGCTCCCTCCCTTCTGATATTTACAGGTTTTGACGAGGTTTCCCTGAGCCCTCTCTCCTGGCTGAACTGTCCCAGCTCTCTCAGCCTTTCCCTGGATCATCCTCGTGGCCCCTCACTGGACTTGCTCCAGGATCTCCCTATCTTTGTTGTACTAGAGAGCCCGGAATGGGACCCAGCAGTTCAGATGTGGCTCCCCAGTGCTGAGTAGAGGGGAAGGATCACAGAGTCATTATGGTTGGAAAAGACCTTGAAGATCATCAAGTCCAACTGTAAACCCATCCCCACCATGCCCGCCAAGCCATGTCTAAGCGCCTCGTCTACACCTTTCTTGAATGCTGCTGGGGACAGTGACTCCATCACTGCCCTGGGCAGCTGTTCCAATGCTTCACCACTCTTTTCATGTAGAAATAAAAAAGATTGCAGATTGCAGATGATGGGCAAGGTCCCATTGTCCAGGTCACTAAGGAAGGTGCTGAATAGTGCTGGACCCAGGCTTGAGCACTGAGGGGCACCACCAGTGTCTGATCTCCAGCTGGACTTTATGCTGCTGATCACAATCCCCCAGGTTTTAAAACCACATCACTTCTTGAAAATCTGAAAAAAAAACAGCTAAATTTGCAGCTTCATCACCTTTGCTTTAAGTCTTGCTAAATCTTTAAGCCTAAGACAGTTGTCAAAATCTTTTTGTTGTTGTTTTCAAATGAGCACTGCCATTTCAAAATGAAGAAATAATAAATATTGCGGGGGATTTCTTTTCACAAAACTGAACAATGCTGTTGAATTGCCTGTATTTCAGGCAGCAAGATACACCTGTTTTTAAGGGTGGATTTTCCTTAATATATATGTCTAACCAGTCTGCAGAACTGTTGGGGAACTTAGGAGTTCTTGGGAGTATGGAAAAACTAGTGCTATGCTGAACAAGTATTTTATATGTGAATGAAAACGGCATATATGCTAATCTCCCAATATGTAAAATTAACACCTTAAATGCACTTTTTCTTTATTACATTCATAACATTTGTTGGCTTTGTGTTATTTTGTCTGTTTTAGGGAGTATGACTTCTGCAACGTCACCTATCATTTTGAAATGGGACCCCAAAAGCCTAGAAATCAGAACTCTCACAGTAGAGAGGCTACTGGAGCCACTTGTTACGCAGGCAAGTGTTTTTCATATATTTTGCTTATTTCTTTAGCATTGTGTTATATGTACTCATTATATGCAATTACCTTACTAAAATTTTTAGCAAAAGATTAAATAGTTTGTGTTCATCTCTAGAAGAAGTTCTTCTAAATGTTGAAACCTGTTTCATTTTGTACTGCGGTGAACTAGGGCAATATGCCCATCCATTTATCCTCCAACGAGCTAGAATTAACTTTGCTAGTAGAACCTAAACCACTTGTCCAATCATTTCTAAATGGTCTAAAAAGCCCAAGGTGAAAGTGATGCTAGGCAATGCATGTAACATATGCAATAGTGATATCCAGCTCTTTATTTTCTGTAGAAATCTTTGTTTATCGAAGGCAGATCGAGTTAGCTGTGTCTGTGCATGTTTAAATGTGCTGTGACTGCATGGGCAGAGGGACCAGCAAAGCAGAGCCAGGAAATATGGCAGTAGACAGCCAGCTTCTGTCCCATCAGGGCAGTTTATGCCTCTGTGGCCTGTTTCCTTTCTATTCCTGAGTAGCTATTAATAATAAGCAGCTGGTTACATAATTTCATCCTAGTAAGCCTCAAAATGGGCAGTCTTGTTATTTAAAATACACAAGCCATTTTTCTTCTAGAAATGCTAATTATATACAAAAAAAAAGAGTGCCGGATAAGCCCATCTGTCCAACAACCTGTTATTAATAAATTTTTTTATAGGCGCTGTGAACCTTAAGATTAGTCTGCTAGATAAAAATGCAGAGCTTCTCTTTTTGAGTGAGAACAGACTTAATGATGTTTTTGTTGTCAGAAAACCCTTACTTGCAATTACTTTACAGTCTTTCTTCATGTTATTCTGGAAATACACATCTAAGTACACAACTTTTCAGATGCAAAGGCATTTGAAGACATACCGATTTCATTTCACATAGCTCTAGGTAACTTGTTAATCAACTGTACTTACAAATGTTGGCAAAGTATTGTTGTAGATTCATAGTTTCTGAAGTTGCCTGTGTAAACTTTGTTTTAGCTAGATTTAAATTTGATAGCACTCTATAAATGCAAATAAAGAAAGTACACGTTGAGCTACAAGGCTAAGGTGCCCCAGATCCTGAAATGATTACCTTGATGGTGAGTAATGCATTCATATTTTAGCAGTTCTTCAAGAAAGCTAGAGAAAATAATGTATGGTCTGGAATTGGAAGCGAAATGTCAAGCTACTGTATTTTTTTGAAATTTATTATCACGTACAAATTGACTTCATTTCACAGATAGATAGATAATATTCATAGATAATATTCACACATATAAAGGACTGTTTGAACATACAATTTCTCCTACTGGAGAAATACATTTTACCTAATTTTCCTCTATATTAAATCAGATAAAATATATTTGACTACTGTGTGTTCTTGTGAGATGTATAAACATTATCTTGAAAGCCTTAAGTGATTAAGACTACTACTCTCTGACTGTGTTTATCAGATACACTTTAAGTTATACGAATGCTCTTTCTGTTTGACTGTGTTTATCAGATGCACTTTAACTTAAGTTATACGAATGCTCTTTCTGTTTTTCTCTGATAAGCTAGCAATCATCCCAAACTGGGGCTTTTCTTTCTTTTTGGCTGAAAATTGCTCATAGTCTGATCAAGTGAGTATCTAATTTACCTCTAGTCATGGATGGCGCTTTGCCTAAAGTAACAGCCTCCAGAAGATATGTTGCACATGGTCCACGTTCATGGATTTGGACATAAAAAAAAAAATGAAACAACAACGACCACAACAAAAACCACTATACTTTCCAAAGAAAACATCTAATTTTGAAATTTCTCTTGCTAATTCAATACATAAATATTTAATCCTTGTTCAGCTAGAACTCTGAAGTCCACTGAAGATTCATAAGCCCTGTTTAGTAGAGATCCTAGAGTGGTGAAGTTCTTTAGTATTTCGTTAAAAATAGGTCACAGGGTAGAGAAAGTGCTAACGGTCACAGACTGCAAGAAAAGTGTTGTGGACGAGTTCTGGAGCAAACTGATCACACCTGATCAGGAGGCAGGAGTAAATGAGATCCTTATCCCTTACAGTCTGAATTTGTTTGATTCTATGATTTTCAACCTACCAAAACTAGCCGATGTTGTATTTTGGAATTCACGTTTAAATACTTAGTCTGTCCTCTAAGCTGTTTATGCAGCTTTGAAACCCTTTTGAAACATTTTTGAAGACTTTTGAAATACTTGAAAACCACATCTGTTGTGCACAAGTCTTCAGCCTCCAAAAACGTCTGTCAACTTTTTTCTTTTTCCTTTCCTATGTGGGGATTTAGGCTCTGAACTCAGTGTGTGTATATAGGCACATAAATAAGTGACAGATTTTCAAACTGCTGGGCATCTTCTGATATATGAAGAGTAATGCAGAAATGCGGCTTGGATTTGAAAAAGAACAACCGAGTGTGTCGCAGCAGTGCATTCAGCTGGATCTCAGACAAGCTCATTAGTGTTCCAAATGAGAAAATATGGATAACCTATGAATTGATTTAGAAAAAAATTATAAGACAGGAAGGTTGTCTGAGCTGGAGGCAAAAAAATCCATTAACTGATCATGAGAATGCATTAGAGATGACAGAATCACATTTATTCTAAGAAGCCTTGAACTAGCAAACTAATTAAAACTTTCGCTGGCTGTCAGGGATCTGAGAGAGCTGGAATTTGCCCGGGCACCTATTTTTCCATTGTTGTCATATTTAAAGAGCAACAGATATGTGGCCCTGCCACATGCCTTTTTCAACTAACTTACTGAGATTTTTGTAAGAGAAGTGCAGTTGAGAAATTTGATAGAATTTCTCCCAAAGTCTGTATTGAACTTGCGTAATGATTGCAGCCTGTTTTGGTTCTCTGGCTTCAATATTGCAGTCAACTAAAAGCAGAAGGCAACTATTATCACGTGTTAATTTTGCTTTGTGGGAGTTTGTAAGAATTTACAGTCTTTCCCTCTGCATCATCATCTCTAATTTCATGAAATCTTTGTATAGAAATGTATAACAAAATATTTCCTCAAGGAATAGCACCTCCGCTTCTCACCTTGTAGATAGTAACCAAAATGAATGACAACTTTGTCAGACTGTGGATGGTTTTCCTCAATGGTTTGCAGATTTTGATAAACTAAATAAATTACTCTTTTAAGAAAGGCCTGAATGCCTTTTCATAGCATTTTGTGTGTAGCTTCCATATAGTTCTGTAGCTTCCTTATAGTTCTGCAGGGGCATTTCAATATGGCAGTTCATGTATTTTTTGCTACCAGAAATTTAAGAGATTTAATATAGTAGCTTAGAATGAATCAGTCGTATGTCCCATGTCACAGGAGGATGCCTAATTAATCACAGGTTTTGTAGTTTTTTTCTATACAGTAATAGCTAGGAAAATTAAATCTGTATCTATGAAACAAACAGGTCATCAGTTATAATTCTAATTTGTTTTAGCTGCTGGAACATATGCATGAATTCATAAGGTACTTCACAATTTCTCTTTTCATTTTGATGTTGCCTTTTAGTAGATTTTAATCAAATTTCAGGAAAGAATCTGTCTTTTCAGTTTAAAGAACTGGTAATGTACTGTATTTTGAAAATGGACTGATTTCTGTATTGCTTGGAGGAAAATATTTTCATTCCCAACCACCCCAGTTATTCAGATATTACTTGTCATTATTGAGCCTGGATTTTACTATATTTGAACCCTAAATCTGATACATTTACTAATCTCAGCAGGAGATGTATTACTGATTACCATTGTCATGGAACACTGAACCACACACATGCAGGTTTAAAATAGTTTTGAGAAAAATAGGGATAATACAGATAATAGAAAATAGCAGAAAATAGAAAATAGCCTGATGCGCTCAGAGGAGAGTAGTAATTTTACAGAATCTTTGTGCAGTTTCTCTGTTTAAGAGCTGAATTCAGTTAAAGCAGCATGTGAGAAAAGTCATTTGCAAGACAGACCTAAGGGAAAGTCAATTATAAAAACTTTTTTTTTTCTTTTTTGACCATTTGAACTCAATTCAACAATGTTGTAAGGTCCAAATTGCTCTTTTTAATTGAGCAGGACTATCTCCCAAGTTTACAATAGTGTTCAGCTTAGGCTCTGGTTCTCTTACAGCGTTCACGTGTCTGGGCGCGTCTGGGCACACGGCGGGTGAGATCGCCCATCGCTGGGGCCCGGCATGGGCTGGTTAGTTGAGGGTCATTACGGTGAGGCAGCCAAAGCTGGAGCCTGTGCGCAGAGAGTTTGGAATTTTTCTTTTCTGATTGAAATCGAAACATTATTTTTGCACATGCCACCATGCAGCGCAAGGACCACTTCTCTTCTGCTGCACTTGCCCATGTAGAGAGATGCTGAGAATTTTTCTGTTATTTTTTTCTAACATGGCTGGAAAGTAGAAATGTGGCTGTATGGGGAAGAAAGCTGACCTGGTGCAGCTCATTAAAGGAACAGAGTTGTAGTGTCTTGACTACAAATATAGCACATAACCAATAAGAAAAGCCACATATCTGATTATCAAACCATCACAAACTTGGGGGTGTTTGGCCAGCGTTTCTAGCTGATTCTGCATTGTGACCGTGGCTGAATTGCAGTGGCCTCATTCTCGTGACTCCCCAGAAGCGGTAAGGTGAAAAATTGCCCAAGTCTTTGATGCTGTCACCATCCTCACTCCTGAAAGAGCATGGCCTGGAGTTTTGAAAACTGGAACAGTTTACCTTCAAATTCCAAATACAGAGAGCATCCAAAGATTTCAAGGGACAATTGGGTTTGACTGCATCTTTCGTTGCTTTGTTTTCTCAGTTTCTTCAAAAAGCAGCTACATGTTTGTTTGTTTGTTTTTGAAATAACTTGTGAGTTAAATGTCACTTCCAAACTTCCTAGTTTTCTAAATATGTATGGCTACCATTATAGTGGTAAATAACAATTATTTTCATATTCAGTTGAATAACAATTATTCATGATTTATGCCAAAAATA